TATATTTCTCTGTGCTCAAAAGTGTTCAAGTGCGCGCTCAACAGCATTTTCTATGCTCAACATGTTTCATTGCGTGCTCAGGATAGAGGCACAAATATAACGCCATAGTTGCGAGGCTCGTTGCGAGGCTCGTTGCTGCTCGCCGCTGCTGCGAGGAGCGGACAGGTTTCCGGGTCGGCGATACAGCGAGGACAAGCGAAACTCATCCTGAGCACACACAAACACTCACAGCCGAAGTAAAAACAATAAGTGTGGCTTGATATTGAGTAAGAAAAAGGTTTATAACGCTGTCAGAATGGGTCTGCGGAGAGCATTTCTCCACCTCCATCTCAACTCGTCTATTACCAGCGTTCAGGGAGCTCTATGCAAGTCAATGGGGACTCCCTGTTAGTTAGCCAAGGGATCCTGGTGTGTGAGGTGCTCCGCGGATTGGTCCATTTGGGCCAATAAGGTCATTTGTTGTTGATTTGGGTGTGCACACGTCACAGAACCCAGGAAGCAAACAATGGAAAAACAGAAATCTCCAACGAGGCGTTCTGGGGCAGCATAGACAGGTCTTTTCTGTGTTAGAGTTTTACTCGCTACAGGGTGTACTTTGATGGTTTTGACTCTGCAGACCGTTTACATGCATAAAAACCTTCATAACACACAAGGGGACGGGTAATAACCAGAAAAGCATGACATGGGACCTTTAACTATATGGTAAATACCCTGTTCACTCCATTGAGTAAATATCATAATAATCAGATGGGTTAAGAAGTGGTGCTGATTGAGAGCAAGTAAGTAATTTAGGTTTATTTAAAGCACCTTTCACAGAGCAGAGTTACAAAGTGCTTCTCCAGATTAACTTTTAAGAAAATAAGAACATAAAAAACGTAAAAAGATACAGACAGTAAAACAGAAGCAGCAACAGGCCGTAAATACACCTGAGAGCACAGGGTCAGACTCAGGCCAGTTTATATAGGTGAGTCTTCAGCTGCACATTTTATGTCTTAAGGAATAACATAAACCCTGACGTCCTTGATTTATCCTCCAGGTGACCTTTGTTGCATACCATCTTTCTGTCCCCTTATTTCCTGTTATTTCTCCACTAAAAACACTGTTACACAGCCATAAAATACCCAGACACACTTTGAAAAATCCAGCTTTTCAAAGTGCAAAGGTTTTCTAATAAAAAAAGATACTTGACCACAACGATGCAACAATCCTGTAAATCCAATATTACCATAAAGCAATCCTGCTCAAGGATTTAGCATTTTTTCCAGCAATGTCACAATACAAGCACAGATATTAAAGGCACAGCTGGCTGCAGTAGATAGGTGTACAATGTATTGTATCTCATGGTATAATATAGCTGTCACTCCACACATATTCAAAGCGTTAAATATGTTATGTTTTATTATGAATAGGCTTGTGTTTCCTTACACACTCGCCAAATCACAACAGTCATTTTACTTTTAGGTGATTAACAAACGCTTTTACGTTTTCAGCCATATAAGAGTTTTTCTAGAATAAATACATGATAATTCTATAATCATGGTAGGAAACTAATGAAAGATGTCCGCCCCCATGTTTGAGTTTGGAGGCATTTACATACGCAACAACACTTTTATTTTTGAACTATCGACTGTGTGTTATGTCGAAAATACCTTACATTTTGGGTAAAGGCATCAATCAGACAATTTTTTATTTTTTTTATTTTAATTTTACCTTTATTTAACCAAGATAGGTTTAATTGAGATTAAAAACCTCTTTTTCAAGAGAGTCCTGG